AAAAAAAAAAAAAAAAAAAAAAAAAAAATCAATCCTGAGTTTTGCCCGAGTGCTCTCTCTCTCTATATTTCTTTTTTTCGAGAAGGAGTATCGCTGTGTTACCCAGGTTGGAGTGCAATGGCACAATCTCGGCTCACTGCACCTCCACCTCCTGGGTTCAAGCGATTCTCCTGCCTCAGCCTCCCGAGTAGCTGGGAATACAGCACGTGCCACCACACCCGGCTAATTTTTTGTATTTTTAGTAGAGATGAGGTTTCAGCATGATCCTAACCTCGTGATCCCGACTTTCTAGTCATGGATCTGCCTCCTCATAGGTTAAATTTGCAAAATATTACCCGCCCTGTGTGCCTTAGAGCTGCTACAGATTAAGTAAGAGAACAATGTTTATGAAAACATTTTGTAAACTATACAAATGTGGGACATAATGTTGCCGGTAACTATGCAAACAAGACAACAAAGCAAACGCAAAAGCCTTTTTAACTTGTTGCAGTTTTCCTGCTCCTTGTCTCTCGGTGAATGAGCAGCGTGCAGGAGCGTGTGCGCGCAGCTGCAGTTCTCCATCAGTGGCACACTGCTCAGATTGCGGACCGGGGAAACCTCTATCGCGCGCCTGCCGCCTGCCGAGCGAGACTCGCCGCTCCACTGGAGTCTGCGGGCAGTTGACTCCCTGCCAGAGTGAAACCCGAACTTCCGAGTCACGTGGCGGGCAAAGACAAACCAGGCTGCTCCGGGTTTCTCGGAGCTTTCCCCCAGCTTCCCTGCGGTTCATATTCTGGCGCTTACCCCTCCCTTTGGTCTGGCAGAACCCAATCCCCGCCTGACAAATAAGTCCCGCGGGTCGGACGCGGTGGCGCGCGCCTGTGCTAAAGCGGGAGAATCGCCTGAGCCCGGAGGTCGGGGGCTGCATGAAACCGTGATCCCGCCACCGCACTCCAGCCTTCGAGACAAAGTGAGACCCTGTCTCCAAAAATAAGAATGAAGAAAAAAAAGAACTGCGGCCCCATTGGCCTGACTCCTCTGACAGCCTACCTGTCTCTGACCAGTTACTGAGGAGGCGGCCTTCAGAGGGTAGTGCCATTGGCTCGATATCCTGCCCCTCCGAAACCTAAGTCTTTAGCCTCCAATCAGGACTCAGCTTTGGGAAGAGCGCCACGCGGTGAGCGAGGGGATGCCCCAGTAAACTCGCAGGTCTCTTAACTCCTTCCGCCTTTGTTTACAACCCTGCCATGATCTCCCTCTTGCAAAATCGAGGATTAGAGAACAGGCATTCAAGTGTCCTGTTCCCCAGTCACAGCTTTCTCTCTATTCTTCCGCTAGGAGACACCAAACCCTCAGGACTATTTACTATACCTAAGAGAAACTGAGGCAGAAAGGGCGCGGCTACGTACTTCTTAAATTCCGTCTGTGGACGCTCAGAATCTTAGTCCCCTACACCCAGATATAGCGGCCCTATCGTGGCTCCTGACAAGGTGGCACCCACTTTTCTAGTGTAAGGCTGGGCGGGGTTTGGCTGGGCAGGTCCAGGATACGAGATCCTGGAAGAAAAGGTGTAGTGTTATGGGCGGTCAACGGGCTACGCTGGCTTGACAGGGCTGAACTCTTCAGAACAGGTAATGCTTGGAGGGTCTGTTTGTCTGAACCTGAGGAATAGGGCTGAAGGTGAAATATCCAGAGGACGGGTGAGGGGCGGGGGTTGGATAATGGAAGAGGGAGCAGAGGAGCCCCGAAGCTGTAGGGGGTAGGGAGCAGCCATCACTCCCTTTCTGCAACCCTTGGTCCCACATGCCTTCTCGCAGAAACATGGATCTCGGAATCCCTGACCTGCTAGACACGTGGCTGGAACCCCCAGAGGATATCTTCTCAGCAGGATCCGTTCTGGAGCTGGGACTTCACTGCCCCCCTCCAGAGGTTCCAGTGACTAGGGTACAGGAACAAGGATCGCAAGGCTGGAAGTCCAGTGGAGACCATGGCTGTGTGAGTGTGACCAGTGGGAGTGGCGGTGGGGTTGGGACACAACTCTGTGATAAGAGGCCTCGGCTCCCATGTGGAGACAGGTCTGAAAACGGACCACTCCCAAAATAGATGTAAGTTGTATAATAACTATCCCCCTGCCCAAGCAGTGAAAGGACTGAAAATGAAGCATAAGACTGGTGTCAGGTAGGACTTCCACAATACCTCCCTGCACATATATATAACCTTTTCCTACTGTAGGGCCTTCAAGAGAGTGAGCCTGAAGATTTCCTGAAGCTTTTCATTGATCCCAATGAGGTGTACTGCTCAGAAGCATCTCCTGGCAGTGACAGTGGCATCTCTGAGGACCCCTGCCGTCCAGACAGTCCTCCTGCCCCCAGGGCAACCAGTTCTCCTGCCCTCTATGAGGTTGTCTATGAGGCAGGGGCCCTGGAGAGGATGCAGGAGGAAGCTGGGCCAAATGTAGGCCTCATCTCCATCCAGCTAGGTCAGTGTTCTTCATGGGAAGGGGAAAATGGCCCTTTGGGACTGGCTCTAACCATGGGGTTAAGGGAGTTTACCCAACCTGTGCCGATACCCAGACCCTGCTGCTCCCGTCTCCTTTCTCCCGGCTACCTGTGTCTACTCCAGATCAGTGGAGCCCAGCATTTATGGTACCTGATGCCTGCATGGTCAGTGAGCTGCCCTTTGATGCTCATGCCCACATCCTGCCCAGAGCAGGCACCGTAGCCCCAGTGCCTTGTACAACCCTGGTGAGTCTTGGTGTCTGCCAGAACCACTACTCCTTGATACACACATATATAATCACAAAGACAGGGCAAAGGGATGAGGGAATGGAAACATGATGAACTGCCTTTGCCTCAGTTTTTGTGGCATTGGGCCTGAAGGCCAAGAGACATGAACGATTAGACAATTTTTTACTTTTATTTATTTTTTATTTTTCGTGAGACAGAGTCCCCACTGGGTGCGGTGGCTCACGCCTGTAACACCAGCACTTTGGGAGGCTGAGGCGGGTGGATTACAAGGTCAGATGTTCAAGACCAGCCTGTCCAACATGGTGAAACCCCATCTCTACCAAAAACACACAAAAAATTAGCTGGGCGTGGTGGTGTGTGCCTGTGATCCCAGCTACTCAGGAGGCTGAAGCATGAGAATTGCTCGAAACTGGGAGGTGGAAGTTGCAGTGAGCTGAGATCTCACCACTGCACTGCAGCTTGGGCAACACAGTGAGACTCTGTCTCAAAAAAAATAAAAAAGAGGGAGTCGCTCTGTCACTAGGCTGGAGTGCAGTGGGGCATTCTCAGCTCACTGCAACCTCCGACTCCCTGGTTCAAGCGATTCTCCTGCCTCAGCCTCCTGAGTAGCTGGGATTACAGGCACTCACCACCATGCCCAGCTAATTTTTGTATTTTTAGTAGAGACAGGGTTTCACCATGTTGGCCAGGATGGTCTCGATCTCCTGACCTTGTGATCTGCCCACCTTGGCCTTCCAATTTTTTATTTTATGAGCCCGAGTGGAGTGCAGTGGTGCAATCATGGCTCACTGCATCCTAACCTCTTGGGGTCAAGCAGTCCTGCCTGCCTCAGCCTCCCAAAGTGGTGGGATTACAGCCATGACCCACTGTGCCCAGCCAACATGAACAATTTTAGAAGCAGGAAAAGGACAAGGGAGAGAGAGCCCTTGGGGGTGAGGTAGCAACAACTCAGGTAAGGTACCGGTGAGGGAATCTGGGGACAGGGTGCAGGAAAAAGTGCAGACTTCGTGTGTCTTGTATTCTTATACAGAGCCATTGTCTCAGCCTTGGGTCAGGACACAGAAATAGGACAGGCCACCTGGGAATCCCAACTGGTTACTAGGTACAGGAAGGAAGAAAAGCAATAGCAGCAATGTTTCCACTGGAACAGAAGGCACCCAATGTCTAGTGCTACAGTGTAGCAGAGGTATCACATTAGATGCCTTCTCAAGGCCAGCTGGCCAGGGTCCAAGGTGGGGTAAAGAGGGGGCTGTGCTCAGATCACTGTTCCTCCCTTTCCTCTGAAAATTAATCTTTGTACCCAAAAGGCAGAGACCAGGTCCTAGCCTCTCTTCAAGAAGCCAAGCCAAGCATCTTAGAATCTTTTTTTTTTTTTTCTTTTTTGAAACGGAGTCTCGCTCTGTCACCAGGCTGGAGTTCAGTGGTGTGATCTCAGCTCACTGCAACCTCCGCCTCCCGGGTTCAAGCGGTTCTCCTGCCTCAGCCTCCCGAGTCGCTGGGACTACAGGTGTGCACCACCACACCCAGCTAATTTTTGTATTTTTAGTAGAAACGGGGTTTCACCATGTTGGCCAGGATGGTCTCAATCTCTTGACCTTGTGATCCACCTGTCTTGGCCTCCCAAAGTGCCAGGATTACAGGCGTGAGCCACTGTGCCCAGCACATCTTAGAATCTTGAGCTGAGGAACCCTTAAAAGTCTGATGCTCCTAAGTTTGGGTATATATTAGAAGCACCACGGCCGGGCGCGGTGGCTCAAGCCTGTAATCCCAGCACTTTGGGAGGCCGAGGCGGGTGGATCACGAGGTCAAGAGATCGAGACCATCCTGGTCAACA